CCCCGGTCGTTAGCCGGGCCCAGACGTACACCTGGGGCCCAGAGGCAACCCCCCCCCCCGCCCCCGCCACGAGTCATAAACCTGGCCCTGTCGTAAACCTGGTGCCCAGACGTAAACCACCCCAGTCGAAAGCCGAGCCCAGACGTAAACCTGGGGCCCAGAGGCAACCCACCTGAGTCGTAAACCCGGCCCAGAGGCAAACCTGGGGCCCTGCCTTAAACCTGGGGCCCAGACGTAAACCACCCCCAGTCGTAAGCTGGGCCCAGACGTAAACCTGGGGCGCAGAGGCAAACCCCTGAGTCGTAAACCTGGCCCAGCGGCAAACCTGGGTCCCTGCCCTAAACCTGAGGCCCAGACGTAAACTGTCCCCAGTCGCAAGCCGGGCCCAGACATAAACCTGGGGCCCAGAGGCAACCCACCTGAGTCGTAAACCCGGCCCTGCCGTAAACCTGGGGCCCAGACGTAAACCGACCCAGTCGTAAGCCGAGCCCAGACGTAAACCTGGGGCCCAGAGGCAACTCACCTGAGTCGTAAACCCGGCCCTGCCGTAAACCTGGGGCCCAGACGTAAACCGCCCCCAGTCGTAATTGGGGCCCAGATGTAAACCTGGAGCCCAGGCGTAACCTCCCCACCCCCACTTAACTCAGAAGCCGGACACCAGCCAAACCCCCCACCCCGCCCCTGGAGCTGCGCTCCTCTCTCGTGAGGGGACCGCGCCGTCAGATCCTGAGCGCCTAGCGACCCCTGGGTCAGACCCATTGACGGCCCCTCAGGCTACTCCATTACCCTGAGGAGCCTCTGACAGGACGCCCGGCCATCATTTGACTCCGTGATAGGACGACTCCGTGACAGGACGGCCGCCTGATGGGGAGTGTGCACCGCCCTCAGGTGGGGTCTGCGGTTGGAGCCCTCGCTCCTAGGGTGCGGTCCCTCCCGACTGGGGCGGGGCGGGGGGTGTTGATGGCGAGACCGCCGCCCTCCCTCCCGACCCGGGCCCCTCGGCCAGGTGCCTGGGAGACCTCGCAGGGTCCAGGGCAGCTCCGGGGGCTGGTCTGCTGCACCGGAAGCCCCGTGACCATTTCATGGCGTCTCTGGTTTCGGGGGTTTGGTTTTTTTGGTGCTGAAGATTTTCTGTGTGTGTGTCATTTAGCTTTTCTCTTACGCTGAATTATGAAATATGTTTTTTATCTGAGATTACAGCACACTTTCTGCTAGTTCTTTTATGATTTGATTTACCTCATAGGTTGTTCCTAGACTCAGAATTATTTAGGTTAAACATATGAATTATCCAAATTTAGGTTTTTCTAGTGGCTGTACAGCCCTAGTTCCTGAAGTATCAATCGTTTCCTGCTAATTCGTCCGTCTGTTTGCGTCTCTGCTGACAATTATTTGGGGTGTACACAGAGCAGTGAACTGCTAGGTTGTTTTCTGATTCTGCGTTATACGTTTGGAGCGGCTGCTTTCTGCTGTGGCTGCACTGTTTTATATTCCCCCACGCAGTGCATGAAGGGTCCAGTTTCTCCACATCCTCACGGACACCTTATTCTATACTTATTTCCTTAGATTTTTATTTATTTTTGTTGTTATAGCTGTCTTACTGACGTGGTATGTCATTGTGGCTTTGAATTGCATTTCTCTAATGACTAACCATATTGAGCATCTTTTCATATATTTATTGGCCATGTGTATATCTTTGGGTAAGTGCTTATTATAGTTAAAGTTTTAATTGGGTCATCTCTCTTTGTTGTTGAAGTGTAAGAGTTCTTTATAATATTCAGAGTACAAACCCCTTTTACATACGCTATTTGCAAAAAATATTCTCACATTCTGTGATTGTCTTTTCACTTTTTTTGATCATGTCCTTTAAAGCACAGTGGTTTTCAATTTTAAAGTCCAAATTCCTATTTTTTTCTTTTGTTACTCATGCTTTGGGTGTCATATCTAGGAATTCATTGCCAAACCTAAAGTCTTGATGATTTACTCCTAAGTTTCTTCCAAAATTTCAGTAGTTTTAGCTTTTATATTTAGGTTATTGATCCATTTTAAGATGATTTTTGTATGTGGTTGATGTAGGGGGCCCACTGTCATTGTTTTGCATGTGGATATCCAGTTATCCCAACACTGTCTCTCAAAGAGACTGTTCATACCCATTGACTGGTATTGCCATACTTGTCAAGAATCAATTGGCCATGGATGTATGGGTTTATTTTTGAAATCTCAATTCCATTTCATTGGACTAGAGTATCTATTCTTATGGCAATACCATATCATTTTTTATTACTGTAGCCAGCCTTTGATTAATTACCAGAGTTCTGAAAGTGTTGATTATGAAAATTTTTGCCATTTTTTTGTTGCTTTTTTGAAGTTGCAAATTTTCAGAGGTCTTTATACTCCCATCCTCATGGATGACCAGTTTGTGTTCGTTTTTGCAAACATGTGCAAAATTGTTCAATAGTCATTGTGTATTTCAAACTTCATCAATGTAAGAGTATTCATTTCTGTCTCTCTCATTTTCTTTTTCTGTCCCTAAATAAAACTTTGTCTGATATTCAAGTAGTAACTCTGGCTTTTTTTTTTTTTTGGTTGCAATGACTTGTGATGTCTTTTAACATCATTTTATTTAATTTTGAACTTGGAAACTAACTGCAATTGGAGACATCCCATCCTATTTGTAACACATTTTATTTTGCAGTATAATATACATAGAAGAGCAAATATCCTAGAAGTATGCCTTTCAAAGAACTTTCACAGTCTTGACACATCTGTGTAAATAGCATCCAGCTCAAGGAAAATAACGTTACCCAAACCTCAAAAATCTGCTCACATTTCCCTTCCGTTGTTTCTACCCTTTAAGGGTAACCTTTATCTTGACTTCTAATAGTACAGGTTAGTTTTGCGGGTTTTTTTCTTTTTTTGTGTACTGTATGTAAATTATGTATTTACTCTGCATTTTCTTTTGTGTGGCTTATTTTGCTAAACTTTATGTTTGGATGTTTCTCTCATTGCTGTGTGATGTTGTAGACCATTCATTCACATTCTGAATATTATTCTGTTATGTTAACTATACCATGATTATCCAGTCTTCTGTTGAAGGGCACTTGAGTAGTTGACATTTTATGGATATGAGGAACAGTGCTGCTAGAAACATGCTGGTCTGTTTCATGGTGCATGTATGTTTGGGTAAGTGTAATCTAAGAGTGAGATTACTGTATACGAGTATGGGTATGTTCAATTTTAGTAGGCGCGGGCAAAGAGTTTTCCAGCAGTATTTCCAGTTCATTCATATGAACTCTATAATACTTAGCATTTTAATCTTTTTATAAATTTTAGCCACTCTGGTGGTGTTATGGTTCATTGTGTTTTTCATTTGCATTCCTCTAATCAAGTTGAGCTCCTTTCATGTGCATATTTTCCGTTTGCATACATTTTTTCAATTGCCTTTTCAAGTCTTCTGCCCAGTATACTACTGAATTTTCTGTTTCCCGTAGTGATTTCTAGGAATTCTTTATGTATTGCGGATGTGAGTCTTTTCTTGGTTGTATGTATATATTACAAATGTCTTCTCACACTTTGGGTGTTTGTTATGTTCTAATAAACAAAAGTTCTTAACTTTGAAAATAAAGGTTCATTTATCTTTTCCATTCATATAATCCTTATCCACTGAATTGGAGTAATGCCTTTGTCATAAACAGATGGCAGTGCATTGTAGAGCTATTTCTGTGTTCTCTTTTCTGTTCTTTTAATCTGTCTCTTTTTTTTTGGCATCAATAGCACTATTCCTTAATTTTTATTTTATCTTTGGTCTTGGTATCTAGTTATGTAAATCCTCCTGCTTTTTTTTTTTTTTTTTTTTGCCTTACGCGGGCCTCTCACTGTTGTGGCCTCTCCCATTGCGGAGCACAGGCTCCAGACGCTCAGGCCCAGCGGCCATGGCTCACGGGCCCAGCCGTTGCGCAGCATGTGGGATCCTCCCGGAC